AGCCAGAAGGACATTCTGAAACACAACCTGATCTTGTCCCACCCTTGGTCCCTCCCTTCCTCAACTCGGCTTCCAACTTTTTGGTTCTGCCTTCTGTGGGGCCACATTTTTCTGATTGTCCTCTGACCTCACTGGCTGCTTCTTACCAGCTTCCCTTGTTGCCTCCTCCTCCTCCTCTTCCTCTGCTGAACCCAGCCTCTAAATGTTGGTGGACCAGGACTCTGTCGTCAACCCTCTTCTCTTCTCAGGCCTTGTTCTCTCCCCAGATTGTCTCGCTCTGTGGCTTCAAATATCATCTATGTGCAGATTAAAGATCTTTCTATTGAGTTTCACAATTGGAGATCCTACTGCTTATTTGACATTGCCATTGGGTGTCTATTAGACCTTGTAAACCTTGCATAACCAACATGAGAATTCTTGGTTTTCTTCACCCCATCCCAAACCTAATCCTCTTTCCCATCTCAGCAAATGGCACCTGAAGTCTACCTGGATGCTCGGGCCCCAAACCTAGCAGTCGTTCTTGACTCTTCTTTGTGCCACAACCTATTCATGTTGGCTCTACTTTCAGATATATACTCTATTCCAAATATGACCCCTATTCAACATTCTCTACTTCCTCAGTCGAAATTACCTCCATGTCTTACCTGGATTACTGTTTTCCCATTTCCGTCGCCTAAAATCCATTCTCTACTTAGCATCCAAAGAGATACGGTGAAATATGAGTCAGTTTCGGGGCTGCATTGTGGCTTTTGTGGGCCCTAGGCCCTTTACCCTCATAGGCCTCTTTCTCCATTAAATAATATTTAGAATTCTATTTTTATGAGAAAGATGAATATATTAACATTACATATGAAAACATTTTATTAGACTTCTGATTTTAAAAGAAATTAAAACATTTTTGTAGATCCCTAAAATCACTGCGGGTCCGGGGCATTGTGCCTGCTGTACTCATGGATAAGTTGGTCCTGATTAGACCCCACCATGTCCCCTACTTAAAGTCCTTCAGTTGTATCCCCTGGCAAGTAGAATGATTTCCAAAGCCCTCACCAGAATTTTTAATTCCTATATGAGCTGGCCAGAATCTGTATTTCTAAACCCCTCTCCTGATGCTTCCTTGTTCACTCTCATCTGGCCAGAATAAATTTGATCCTGATGGAGGTCCTTGCATTTCAGTTTGCTCAGCCTGGAACATATCCCCTCCTGCCAGATTTTCAGTGAGCTGCTCACAGTCAGGTAGCAAGCCTGAGAGTTTCTCATGGGTTACGGGAATATGGGAGAGGATGATTGGGCTTGATGCCTCTTGCTGGTTCTCTACTTGAAAGGGCTGTCTGCTAGGTAAGGGTGCCCCAAAAGCAGGAGGCAGAGGGTTACATCACCAAGGGTGAGGGCTAAGGAGGGTGGAAGAGCTGGTATTATCTAAGAAGCGGCAATCACCGAGGACACAGTAACGGTGAGTCAGGTAAAGACATTTGCCCTTTCCCTCTTCCTCTGCTCCATTCCAGTCCACTGGAGGAGCTGCAGCCCAGAAGGGAGAGCACCTTTAAATCAAATAGGAGGGTTTATGTTTTAAATTAAATGGCATTGAAATTTATTTGCCAAAAGGAATTAGGCAGCTATGGAATCAGTCTGCCCAACTCCAAGGCCATCATATTGTCACCCCAGGCTGCTGCCCCAGCTCTTAGCCCTGTTTAATCTTGTCCTGGAGGACACTGGTTTATTTCCTCCTCCGGGAAACCCCAGACTAAAAACAGATGCGTGTTCGTCTGCCAGACACAGCCCATGTTTACCACCTATATGCTATGGCTCACCCCATCAAAATGATTTTTAAATGCCCTTCCCGTGTCAGAGGCCCTCACAGTGCCGCTCCAGGTGAAGAAAACATTGCAGGAATCACAAAGAAAGCCCAGAGACAGGAGATGTAGGGAGCTGCATCCCCCTTGTCCTAGGCTGGCAAGGATGGCGGCCAGTCTGCATTCAATACAGTGCTCCGAAGGCCTCGACAACTGAGGTGACCAAACATGCTTGCTTGCCCAGGACATATGTAGTTTATGCAGGCTGTCCCAGCCTCATTATTCATAGCATTCCTTTTCAGTCTGTCTCAGAAGAATCCCATTCTGAAGGAGAAATGGAATGGCTACCCTACCAAGCACTCACAGAGGTCAGTCAACAGAGGCAACGCCAAGGCCTCTTTGAGCTGGTCGATGAGAACAAAGAGAAGAGGCAGACACAAACGGCAGTAAAGCCCACACTAAGCAAGAGGGGAACGCAGGCCAGTGCAGGGACTGTCCACTAGCCTCCTGGCCTAGGCTCTGACCAGCCACCTGTGAGGAAGTGCTGAGGACCACTGTCAGAATTCCTCTGTCACCCTGGAAAGCTGTCACTTACCCTCCAGTTAGTGGACAGCAGACTGGAGAGTCGTCATTCCAGGCCAGGCTTAGTCATCCTCAACAAGTTCTGAGTGAAAGATCTCCCGCGGGGATTGTTAGGGAAATATCGCCACCTTGAATATGTGGCCCAAGTGGCATCAGGGGCTTCTCCCATTGAGCAGGTAAACTGAGCCAGACAAAGAACAGGGAATTAGGAGCATGACCTCCTAATTTTCTTTTTGTCCAAAAAAGTAAAGAAATAATATACATACCACTCTGACATTTACTGGCTCATGTTTCTTTACTTCGTTAGTGTTATTTTCCCATTTTTTGCATGAGCTCCTTTCTAAAATTCAAAATTCTGAAGAAAGTGTATGTAAGAAATGACTTCCAAATTCTGCCACAACCTTCTAATCCTTAGCAACAAATGATTTGCATGTTTAGCCTTTCCCATTTCATGCTGTGAACATTTCCAAATCCTAGGCTAAAGTCTGGTTAAACCCAGAAGGCCCTGATGCCTGACACTGCCTGGGGCTTATCATTCTTTCTGCATTGTCACCTTGACCAAAAGGCTGTTAGAGCAACTCCCAAAATGTAAGTATTGGAACGCTGGATTGTTCGGAGACATTATATGAGAAAACAAGGGTTCCATGAGCAAAGATGTTTATTGAAATACAGATTTTAAAACATTAACGTGTTCCTTTACTATAGGACTTCTCAGAACTTTTAATATGCAAAAAGGCATGTGAATCCCTGATAAAAAGAGAGAGAGTATTCAGAAGCATCTTCCTCCTACTCGATGATAGTACCCTTTTTATTTATGGTAGGAAATCTGGAGGGATGGGTGTTTAAGGAATACATTTTGGGAAATGTGGTTCTACTAGCCTTGCTAGGCAAATATACTTACGATGTAGATAACTAATACATGTAAAACACAAATTAATAATACAAGTCTTTTAATTTTTTCTTTCAACTACGATGACAGTTTAATAATAAATGCTTTATTACCACTGAAAAGATGGACATGGGCAATTATTCTACAATTTTCTTTTGTGGTTCTATGAATTAAGCTATATGTAGCATATGAATACCCTTCTCTAGTAAATTACATCTACTTGTGAACCAAACATTGATATTATTTTGACTTTGTGTCATTGTCTAACTTTGCAAAAATTGAAATTAAGAAATCAAGGTGCTTCATAAAAAGAGAATTTATTTTTTAAAAAATCAGTTCTGGTCTAGGTATTCAGTGAACTTTTTTTTTTTTAACCTAGCTAAAGCAAAAACAAACAAAACCCCCAAATACCAGACATAGAAATGGAGACCTCTCTTCTTCCTCAGGCTAGATTCCTATCAGATTCCAAAGCAAATTGTACTGGAACTCAGAAGATTCCTGACACCCCTGTTCTTACATGATTTGAAGAAAGCATTTCTTGAGTGCCTTATCAGAATCATCCTTCCGAAAAGCTCAAGAAACACAAGCAAAAAGACACCTAGGGAATGTTTAAGTGACAGTGCTCTCTTTGAATGTCCTTACAAATTGCCACAATGCAGGTTGAAATCACCTGGGGTGCAAGCACAGCAAACACCTCTCCTGAAACATTTAGAAAGAAGTGCCTAGTCTGAGGGCAGCAAAATGAAAACACAGAATATGTCAGTCTTTCCTTTACATGTTCTGATTATCATATTGATAAAACATTTATAAAAGCCTTTATTGGAGTGCATGATTCTAATCCATTTTGTGTTCTCCCAATTGTCATTTTTACTATTATATCTCATTATATATACCTGCAGTCTGCAGCATTCCAGCAAAAGTGGCCCTTCTAAAGCTAGTGAAAAAGAAGGAGTCATACTGTTTGTTCTTAAAGCAACTTCCAAGCATTTTTACTATAAAATAAGCGAAGGAGAAAAGCTTCCAAATTGAACAAGTACACAGCTTCCTGAAAGTACGTTGAAAACTATGCAGAATAATTTTTGATTAGGCTGCATGACTGTGCCAGGCTCCAAACAAGTGGTTATTCTGCTGTGACATCTGCCGAGCAATGCGTCCATTGTTCTCTGGAATTTAATTCATTTTAAATTACTCCATCCAAATGATAAAACATGAGATGTGCTATACTCAGAGGGTAAAATGCTATGATTGTTTTTAGTGTGACCACAACTGTTAGCTGGGAAGCAATACAGCCTGTTCTAATTAGGCACTGATTGTTATCTTCTGAGAAATAGCTAGTTGTAGAAATGTGAGTGAAATCCTGTTAAATGGGAGGATTGGGATAAATAATCTTGACTATTCTGGTTTGACTGCAAAGTTGGCAGTGCCATATGTAAAGACTTCCTGCAAAGTAGAGCAACCATCTTTGGCAGAGAAACTATTTGCAAAACTAAAAGCAGGTTGGGATACTGACTTACTTTAAGGTAGAGTTTAATATGTGTATCAGTATAGTCAACAGATTATTTTACTGTTCAAGGACTACTGTGCAAGTGCCTCCAAATCTTAGACTGCCTGTCTAAGAAGTGTTGTGAAAGAGTTATTATGTGGTGGGAATACTACCATCTGGAAGCATTAAGGATCAGGCATTGGAAAAAACAAAACAAGATGAATCTCAGAAGGAAATACACACACATACATAAAAATTCATATCTCCTGTATGCCATATATTTAATATAAACTTTTGAAACAACTTCAGATGAAATAAAAATCAGTTTTCAAAAAGGTGAAAGATTAACTTAATTGCAAAATATTCCCCATTACCCCAAACATCAGTATGTTTTAAATTTCTATGCAAAAGTACTCCTTCAAACTGCTTAAATGATATGATGCACAAATCAGTTTTCAAATAATAAAGCCAGTCATCTTGAAATTTTAAGAAATTAGGTAAAAGATATCATATGACACATTACAGACATACACACAGGTGTGCATGCCAATGACAAAATCTGGCCTTTCCTAAAATAAGTACATGAAGACCATTAGGTGCTGACACGAAGGAACACTGTGTCACCCCTCTCTACAATCCAGGTAGTTTCCTTTAATCCAATAGCAAATCTGGGCATATTTCAGAGGGGTGATCCTGACAGCCACGTTGAAATCCTGCGGGGAGCCATTCATGTCCACCCACTGGTGCCCTGAAAAGATGCCAATAATTTTTCGCTCCCACTTCTGCTGCTGTCTCTTCCACATCCTCACATAGACCCCCGACCCGCTGGCGCCGGGCTGGGCGTCACACTGCTGGTAGAGCAGGTCATAGGTCTCGTCTTTGACATCGCAGAAACGGTACACTAAATTGCCCGGCCGATCGTTGTCATACCCAGAGAAGTGGATTCTGCCCCCGGGTAGCTGTTTAGCAGGAGGGCTCACCCCAATCTTCATGAACTTTCTCTTGTGGGGTTTTTTGAGTTCCAGGAGGGCATAGTCATAATCCATGCCAATGTCGTTGGCATTGCCCTTGATCCAACCCTTGGGCACGTGGGTGCGTTTCACCCGGATCCACTGAAATTTCATCTTCTCGGGGATGGCTGAGCTCGAGTCATTGGCCCCTCGACCACCGTCTTTAAACTTGGGCTTCAGGAAGCCCACGCGAAGTTTCTGGGTTCCTTTCACGTAGGTTTTCCCATCGTGTATGCAGTGGGCAGCTGTGAGGACGTGCTTCTCCGCCACCAGGGTGCCAGTGCAGCCTGTAGATAACTTCACTGATGTTGAGAAAGGGTAGTTGAGCAGGAAGTCCTTCCCAAAAATGCTGAACCTGCTGTCATAGCCGTAGATCTGCCGCTTCCTCCGAGACTTTCCTGAAGACTCTGAGTCTCGGCCTTGGGCCCTACCTGCGCTGTTGCTGAGGATATAAATGCCCACCTGCGTCTCTGTGTGGCTGCCGTTGGAATAGAGCGTTTCATAAGACAGATACTGCTTGGCCTCTTCGTAAGTGGGCAGTGGAGTTCCCTTATGACACTGGGGTCCGCATGAGGAGGACACTTCCAATTTGGCTTCGGCCCCGAAGTCTGGCTTGGCTAAGTTGAGGGTAGACTGGGGCAAGACGACAGGGAGGCGGTAAGCAGGCCAAGTGGGTTTCCAGGGGGCACCAGAGGGGCTCACACGCCCCACAGCACAGAGCAGGAGGAGGAGCAGGAGGAGGAGGAGGAGCCCTGGAATCCCCGCCATGCTGAGCACCACTCTGTGGAAACAAAGACAGGCAGGTCAGGAGGGCAAGGACTGAACACTCATTTACTGCAGGTGGACGAAGTCCGGTAGCATGCCTGTCATTGTTTCTAAGTCTGTGAACCCTCCTCAGGAATGAGGGTGGGGAGAGGAATCCTTAGATAATGGTCTCACTTACAATGCAAGGGCTTGACCTTGGGAATGGTCCTGTGGCTGGGTGCCAAAATGAAACCGCGTGTTCATTCCCTTCTGCGTTTAAGATGCCCGTGACGATGGCACGCTGCAGAGCAGCATGCATGCAGTCATCAGTCCCCACATGAATCGCTGGCCTGCCCCAGTTTCCATGTAGTTTTGAGCCTTCTCTGGGCTTGATTCTAAACCTCGTCCTCTCCTGCCTACCAGGTCCTCCTGCCTTTCTTCTTCTCTCTCATTCTTATTATAACATGTACTAGGAAATTTTTCAGGGCAACTTGCTCATTTAAAAGGTAAATTTAAATTACACAGCATACTGAGTGACTGAGGCATCTAGAGGGACAGCTTCACAGTGTCACTTACTAAGACTCCCATTACTTATAAATGATGATACATTTGGAAGAGGGTATGAGACTTTTTTGTTTTTGCTTTGAATTTAGAACAACTTTTACTGTTATATATTTACTTCCAGAGTAGCCAGGCCTCTAACAAAATATCCCTTCTTCCTTTGATCATGTTGTTCACTAACAGGATCTTTGGCAATATGTAAAGCTCTAATATTCTTTCAGCTGTAACATTATGACCATTACTGTTGGTTACTTTTTCAGGGGTTTGTATCTGTGTTCCCAGCTAGGCTATGTGCCTTGAATTTGGGCCTATGCTATCACTTGACAAAGATTTATTAAATGAATGCTTGTATGAAAGGAAGAGTGAATGAATGGTGTCTGCTGACTGCTAATGACAGATGTACATGGATGATGTGGCAGCTCAGAGAAAGGGCTTGAGGTCAGTTGTGGGGAGTAAGGTCAGGGGAGGTGATGCTTGAGAAATATACCTTCTTCTGAGTGCACCCGCCGTTTAGAGTCCTCGTAAGTATGACAGTGTGATGTTGTCCCTTCTTGATGCCTTGGTCACTCAGTACACTGTGTAATTCAAATTTACCCTCTATGAGCAAGTTGCCCTGAAAATTTTCCAGGCATCGCCTGAGGCTCGAGATGGTTGCTGAAGTTAAAAAGAAGTTCAGTAACACGAGAGAGGGAACAGCAGTCTGTGCAAGGGCACAGAGATGTGCAACAGTGTGAGTCATCTCAGGAATTATACTTAGCTCAGCAAGGGTGGAGCAGAGGACAGAGTCAAGGCACCAGGCAAGAGCTGGATGATGAAGGACTCTGTGTACCAAACAAAGGAGCCTGGGTCTTATACTGAAAGTTATGTTTAAAGACCCCGACCATCCTACAAGAAAAACAACAACGAAGAAGATTGGAAGTGATTTCATACATGTTTAAGCATCAGTTAGCTCTGACCAGTTCTCAATCTTCTGATTCAAGAGAAGCTGACTCAGCCAGCAGGGTCATTCATTCACAACCCAGCACCCCAAAACAAGAACGAGGAGGGGGTGAGGTCGGCCAGTGGAACACAGCAGGAGTCAGGAAGAAACTGTTTCAGTATTTTCACCCTCTTCCTCTTTGAAGGCAGAGATCTACTGGCAATTGTGGGTACCTTTTGCTTTCTTCTGCATAAAACTGGAGAATCCCAATGATCTGATCTAGTTTAGCTGAACATGCCAATCCTCATTCCGAAAATCTACACACTGTATTTCTACAGTATGTGCGTGCCCCACCCACCTCTGGGAACTTTGTGCTCGACTCTTTCTCTTAGATTCCCCTTCTATTGGGGAGAATACGGATGAGGAAAGAAAGGAATGAGGTCCTGGAAGCCAGTTCCCTGGGACTTCCTGATTCCCTGCAGAAGCAGAGAAACTCTGCTTCTCTTCATCTTTCCAAATACGAAGAGTTCCTGGGTACTTTTAGGGGGAGGAAATACATTATTTCTTTAAATCCTTGAAGTCATGGGGTGCACATATATGTGCATATGCATATGTCCATATGTGCTTGTTGGGGGTATCGCCAAGACTAAAGTTCCTAAGTGGACTAGGGAGGGAATGCTAACGCCAGCAGAGTCCTCCTCCCCAGTGGAGAACCTGGCAATGGGATGGGGGTGGTGATAACAACCCTTTAGGAGATCGGTGGAGCATGGCTCTGTCTGATCATTCCTGTCTACCGGCTAGGGACTCGGCCCTTGGGGTTATCTAGGGCTTGAACAGTATTTTACGTAAGTTGCTATCTGGGTGACTAAATGCCCCACTCACACCAGAATCCCTGCCAAGTGTGACACGTACTAGGAGGAACCATGCATCACCCACATGGCTGTATTGTGGGCCCCCACACACCATCTTCTCCTCCCTTTGATTAACGTGGAGAATATTAATGTGGCTTACACTGAGCAGCACACATGTTAAACCAAGTTTTACTTCAGCTTATCTTAAGAAAGGAAATACAGAATCCTGAGGTCCAAGCTGCCAAGTGTTTCTGTTTTAAAAATATGATTCTTGGGGGACAGAGAGTAGGAGATGAGGTAGTATTTCACTATGTATTATTATCAGTTGTAGATAATATTTTCAATGTATATGAAGAATGTGTCAGTTATGATATACTCATATTATCTTCTAGAGTAAGCATGGATCTTCAAATCCCAAATCTGAAATTTGTATGTTATTTGGACCCTGGAAGTAGAGAGTTTGAATTATCAACTGCACCAAAATAGTTCCAGTGGCATCTATCTTTAGCTTATTTTATCCAAAAATTGAAATAGTTCATTAGCAAGGGTGTCATTCTCTTCCCTGACAGGAAAACGTCAGAAACGAGTGCAAATACACTTTCAAAAATCCATCTAGGAACCTTGTCTTGAATTAAACCACCTCTCAGGCAAAATCAACTATAGTTTCAATTTTTCAAGTGCTCTGCCTGTATAGTCAACTCCTGTTTACTTAAAAAAAAAAAAATCTTTCTAAGGCCTTGAAGCATGCCCCATTTCACAAGTGCTACCATGGCATATCTCTTTTGTCTTAGTCTGTGTAACTTCCCCTAGGCTTTCACAGCCTACCCTGACTCTAAAAGAAACAATGTTTTCAGAAACCAGTTCATGAGAGTTACTGGGTGTGGAGAAATAGAAACGATCTTTTCTTGGGGTGTGAGTGCCGGGCAGTCAGCTAGGCTCACTAGCCACAGCCTCACTCCAGCCTCTCAAATATGGACGATCAAATGTATTCTTTGACAAAATGATGAATGACTATGTCTTAAGAACCTTTGGGATCACTCACACATCACAGAATGCTGTTAGAGAACGCTTAAAGGGTCTACCATATGATAGAATATTACTAATTCAGAGTGCTAACAATTTAAATTCTGGTCATTTAACCAGAAGTGAAGGAGAAGTCAACCAACAGGGCAGAGTGAAACTTTAACCTCTTACAATAAACTTTCCCAATACTTCAAAAGCACTAATTTATATTAGTTTGAAACACTGCTTACATGTTCACTATATTATTAAACTCTATTAACTTGCATTGATAACACCTTGTTCTGACAGCATTATAGATCTTGCTTAAAGCTTCTATATAACTCTGAAAGTTATAAAATTGCATTTTAAAAAAAACTTTAATTCAGATTTAGAAACTAATGCAGACTTTTAGAACCTAATGTAGTTCAAATTACTCCAACTTGATTAGGTTTTTAAATACCTGATCAGAAATTGAGAGGCATAGCTGTGTGTCCTCAGGTCCTCGAATGACTTTAAAGAGACATCTGTATTAAAGTTACAAGCTTCCTAAAGTTGCTCACTCCTTTATGAAATGTTTATTAGGGTGGTTTAGAAATTGTTCTGAATGGCAACCTCAGCCAGATGATCTCTTTATTGGTCTTTTCAGGTTTGGGATTCCCTAATTTTATGATTTTCTAGGATCACAAAAGTGTAGGTCAGGGACCATGGTGTTTATAGTGTCTGTAATGTCATTTATTGTTCAGGAGTGTTTACTCATGCATGGTATTATGGAAGGTAGAGGCATGAGGGAAAAGGAAAAGAGAAATTTATCGTGCTAATCTCTTATCTATCTGGCAGACAAGATTTCCCTGATCAGCCTGCAAAGAAAAGAAAGGACTCCAGCACAGGGTGGCTAAAGTAATACGGAGATACCTTAAAGAACTAAAAGTAGAACTACCATTTGATCCAGCAGTTCCACTACTGGGAATCTACCCAAAGGAAAAAAAGACATTCTATAATAAAGACATCTGCACTAGAATGTTTATAGCAGCACAATTCACAGTTGCAAAGATGTGGAAACAACCCAAGTGCCCATCAATACATGAGTGGATTAATAAAATGTGGTATATGTATACCATGGAGTTCTACTCAGTCACAAAAAAACAATGGTGATCTAGCATCCTCTTGTATTACCCTGGATGGAGCTGGAGCCCATTCTCTTAAGTATCACAAGAATAGAAAAACAAGCACCACATGTACTCACCATCCAATAGGTACTAATTGATGAACACTTATGTTCACATATGAAAGTAACATTCATCAGGTGTCAGGCAGGTGGGAGGGTGGAGGAGGGGATGGGTATATTCAAACCTAATAGGGGCAGTGCACACTGTCTGGGGGATGGGCATGCTTGTAGCTTTGACTTGGGTGGTGCAAAGGCACTATATGTAACCAAAATGTTCATCCCCCTGTAATAGTCTGAAATTGAAAAAAAAAAAAAAGAACCAAGCAGAGGGATATCTGGGTGGAAATGCTCTTAGGACAGGCCCCAAAGAAAAGTGTGAGGGGGAAACAACACTCCTGTCCATTAAGGGTCTTCCCTGAGGCTGTCATAGTCTACCCTGACTCATCCCCATTAAATAACACAGCCCCAATGACAACTGCAATGCTTTAAAATTAGGTAGGTGACTTGCATTAATTTCTCAACTCACCTGATAATGAACA